GCCTTTACAGAGTCTTTACTACTACAAAAAGGGCATTTCCTTTCTAGCCCCCCAAAAAGGCATTTTTTCACTTTTAAAATGTGGTGAGGCACATGCCCCATTGTCCCCGGTTCCGCGGCCCCTGATTAATGCTAAAACAGGCAATATACATCTGTTTACTGATTTTATCAGCGCCCTTAACATGGTGCAACGAATAAAATTGTTCAAAATTAATGTCGAAGTTTGCCGACCCACAATAGCCACAAGTAATCGAGTATCCATACAATAAAGTTTTAACAAATATTGCCGCCCAGAAAAATGATTGCTTAGAAGCAAGTGCCCTTTTAAAATGGCTGCCCCCGCCGCTTCACATTGTTTCCGGCGCCCCTGGATCAAGGTCATAATCAGGAGATTATGGTATTGTGTCAATGTATTGACGAAGTTCTTATTATATTACCAATATATTATTTAATAACATTAAAAGATATCAGGATCGTATACACCAGCAGAATCGTTGTAATTGTACTACTGTATGTGTATATTGAAAGTGTATAATTAGTGCAAGTGTATAAAGTTAAGTATAAATGTAAAGCAATTCGAATTCAAGAATGTTCTGTACACGATCGCTTAATTGTATATATTGTAATTATATTTTCACAAAATTGTATATATTCTTTTGAACAAAGTAAAAAGGTTTACTCATGGGTAATAAATCAGCTTATTTTAACTCTTCAATTACTAGTGTCGCTGATCAGCGAACACGCGAATGTAAACAAACAGCTAAAAATAGACCCAATTTGGAGATTTATAACTTTTCAGAAAATTGCTTGCAGACGAGTTTTATTCCTGATTACTTAACTTTAGTAGGTGTACTTTCAAATTACATGCCTTTTGAACTTCAGATAGGTGCCACTTTTGAGCTATTTTAAGTAAAATATGAGCAATTTTCAGCCTCTCGTCGCCATCTTGAAAACATAGTTTCGTAAAACTATAAAAAAATCGTATTAAGCAAATAAAGTTGTTCAATCTCCATGTAAACGAGAGTATTAGTGTTAATCTTGCATATGAACAGTAACTGGAGGGGATAAACGCATCACAACGTTTTTAAAAAATCAGATGAATTCTTGTAAAATTCCCCTTCATTTCCGGTCTGAAAATATTCTCGCAAGGTCAAATTTTAACATGGCTATAACTCTTATAAAACAGAAAGTTGAAAAGTTCTGAAAGAAGCTCGATTAATATTGACCAAAGTCTAGTTCATATGCAAAATATGAGCTAAATCTATTTTTCCTTCCCCAAACCAGTGAGTGGATTTTACTGAGAGGCCCTCTTAAAGCGCTGCAATTTATGTTTGGAAGAAAAATTTTGCATTTTGAAAGACATAAACAAAGATAATTTACTCAATAAAAGAAGCGAAATTTTCGGCATGTGTCGTCACAAATACCGGTTTCGAGTAAACAAGGTAGCTAGAAAAACTTTATGACCCAAGCATTTTTTCGACTAAGGCCTAGTTTATACGTCGAATTTCAGTCGAATTTAATGCGTCGAATTTCAGTCAAGTTATGATATCCAATGAAAATTCGACGTATAAACTAGGCCTAAGCACTGTTTCGCCTAATCATCAATTGTTTCGCCTAAGCATTGTTTCGCCTGCACGCATTCCGCGCATTCTTTCGATAGCATAAAAGAAACCTACATTTTCGAAATTACTCACCACCTGATGATTCCTATATACGGATGAAACAGACTGTCGTGGTTTTTTGAGGTAAAACGAAAAACTTTATATATATATATATATATATATATATATATATATATATATATATATATATATATATATATATATATATATATATATATATATATATATATAGTTGTCGCCTGTGTTGTGGCGGTATCCATTCTAGCGTTCGTCTACATTGGACTAACAATAAACAGGACACAGACAACATGTAGTTTGGATAATGCAAGCCTCGCAGCGATGTGGACTCAAACCATAGCTTTGATGAATTGCACATGTAACAGTTAAATATTTTACTGGAAAAAACAAGGTGTTACGTACCGAAGCATTGAATGTTCTGAAAAGCCTGAAAATATGTCGACGGGTTGAATCCTAGCTGCACTAATATACCCTTCTTCGAAAGAAAAACTTAAGGTTCGAAGGAAACTCACTAACAATATCTTGGCCATAGTAGATGTGAACACAACGAACTATACACTTATATTATTCTATATATTAATACGCATCTCATTATCACAATAAGAAAGACAGTAGCTGCATATAGTGTAACTATGGGGTAAATAAGGCTGTTATATGCTTCTAATTTCATCCATTCGTCAACATGACTAAAATATAGTCGAATAAAACGTAGAAAAATAAAAATGCTTTCATATCTTTAAATTATGTCATTATATACAGAGTGTATAAAAAATTGCCAAGTTATTGTTTATTAAGTATTGCGTATGTGGATTTAATTTCCCCACCCTAATAAAGATTTGGCCTTTAACTATCGAATGAGATTATCGAATTCTGAGAAAATTTCGCAGCAGCAGAAATAGTCGAACAACAGTCGAACATGTACATATCGACCTCGCCATCAGGGAGCATTGTCATTGGTCGAAAAATTTATTTAGAAAGTAGTATATTGTATAATTACTTTCTTATTGTGAGTTGGTTATAGAACAACATAGAGACATTTAGTTTTTAATGTAAAAATCGAAAGCGAGCTTGTATTTCTTTTTATTTTGCAATTAACGACTCGACAAAAAGTGCTTTTTCGCTTGGGCCACTTGTACTTTCAAAACAAACTTTCCTTTACATGTCTCATCATCGCACCTGTTCTTAAGTTGTTTTCGAAAAGGCAAAACTGCAATTCCAAACTAATAACATATGTTGAACGAGAACTATAGATATTCATGCACTTTAAACAACTTTAAAGTATCACATTTTTATATACTATACGGCCTAGCAAAAAAAAAAAAAAAATACTAAAACTAAAAAATAAATTATAAAAATTAATAAAGCTTTTAGCATTGGGCGTTTGAAATTGATACAATAATAATAGGAAAATTTCGAGTGTAAATTTTATACATTTATTAAGAGTCAACCAGGAGAAGTTGAGAAAAATGCAACTACTGATATATAGACCCTCTGGCAGGAATCGAACCTGCGATTCCGGTGCAGCGCTCTACCCAACTGAGCTACAGAGTCGACCTGGATAGTTCATCATAAATGTATAAAATTTACACAGGAAAGTTTCATCTACAAAATCCTTCAACATCATTGTTCAATCAACTGAGATGCCCAAGAATCATCATAATAATATGACCATACTTTTCTTAAGAATCAATTTTGCAATATTTTCAACACTTAGGAGAAACTGGGGGGTGGGCTACAACCTCTTAATATTTTCATCCATAATCTAAAATATACCAAATCTGTGGATTTCAGATGATCATAAAACGTGTCTAAAATGCACGAAAATCCTAAAACTCTTCCGAGAGACCATATCCACACCCGCCCCCCACCTTTAGAGGTGGCCTGCATGGCCCAATCCCCCACAATTGCAGAAGCTCCCCCATCACTGTAATAAAGATATAAATTGTCTATTCACTTTGATCTGTGGACGTTACATTGAGCAGCATAATAATTCATGTATAGAAGATTTTTGAAGTTTGAAAAGCCAAAATGTTAATGCTTGGATTATAAAACGCAATTTCAAAAGGACATTAAATTTACTTTGCAGTAGTAAATAAAACGGTCTTACTTTTAAAGTTATGTAAAGCAGATATTATTCTGTCAACATGTATAATTAAAACCTACCTTAATAGTTATTACTGTTTGCAGTTTTGGAAAACAACTCAAGAGCAGGGCGAGACATTTGTTTTGAGGGGACAGATGGCCCAAGCTAACAGCACGTTTCATCTTACCGCCGAGTTAAACACGTAAGATGAGGCTAAAAACCAAGGTAAACCTGCACTTATTTAAAGAAATAAACTCCAGCTCTAAACTGTTTCCCTAGAGGTTCCGCAAATCCCTCGAAATCCCTGTTTCCACTGTTAGTTGGATTGCAGATTTCCTGAGTGACAGACAACAACGAACCAAATTGAGACACGACTGTCTTTCGGAGTGGGGGAATGTCCCAGCTGGTGTCCCTCAAAGGAGCCAAGCTGGGTCATTGGTTATTTATATTGATGATAAACGATCTTAAAACACGTTGTTTAGACGAGGTAAAATTCATAGACGATCTAACGGTATATGAAACAGTAACCAGATTTGGTTCAAGTGATATCCAACAGGCAGTGTCTGAAATTGAAGATTGGTCCGAGTCAAACCTTTTCAGGTTGAATGAAAACAAATGCAAAGAATTGCGGATAGACTTGGCGAAAAATAGAAATCCCTGTCCCCCTATTAAAATTAATGGTAAACCTTTACAAGTGGTGGAAGAAGCAAAATTACTGGGTCTTACTATCGCGAACAAATTGAAGTGGAATAGTCATGTCAATAACATAGTGACAAAAAGTTTCAAAAGGATTTACCTTTTAGTGCAGCTGAAACGAGCAAAAGTCGCGATTCAAGATGTTTTACAATTCTATACCGTATGTATCCGCACCATTCTGGAATACTCTTCTACTGTTTTCCACTACTCTTTACCTAAATACTTAAGTGATGAAATTGAACGAGTACAAAAATGGGTTCTTGGAATTGTATATCCGAACTTACATTACGAAGATGCATTGATAGAAGCTGGGATGGAATCATTGTACGCTAGAGGGCAAATTGTCTGCAATAAAATTTTTAAAGTGTTTATGAAATGGTTGAAAATTTTTTTCACAATTGTACTCATTTTATAGTTTAAACTATGCTGAATATCATCCGCTAGTTTATTTTTGCCCCGCGATTTTTTAAAGTCGATTTTTAAAGCCACGAAAGTCAGTAATTTAACTATTTTATTGTCCCGGGGTCTGGACCCGAGTGAACACAGCGCTTGACGTCACTGGTTGTACACACATATTTATATTTTCTTACAAACGATGAAAGAAGCTGCTTGTATTGTCGTATTTTAACGTTTTTTATCAGGATTTCTACTCGTTTATTATGTCGCAGAGCGACGATTCGTTAAGTTACTCTAGCTTAGAGAGTGACAGCTTAACTGAGAGCGATTTAGAGGAAAATCCACACGTAAAGAGCTGTTTTGAACCGTACCAAGGAGAACCATTGGCGAGCACAGACGATAGTCAGTCTTCTGATGAAGAACAGGACGAAGATTTTATTTTACCCTCGGTTTTGGAGAAGCGTTTCGAAAAGGTTATTCCTTTAGCTAATTGGTAAGTTCTCAAAATATTACAAATCCACCCTGTTATGATTTTAATGCGGATTTTACCTGACCTTTGCCGTATTATTTGATACTGTTGTAGGTGTTCGTGTGGCAACTGTGCTGATCAAGAGCTGGTTAGTGCTCGTGAGTATCGTTGCTGCAAAGAGATCGTAGAAGTAAGTGGGAAATTTACTTGGATTGGCAAGAATGTTTAGTGTATCCTTGATCATCCAGACTTTAATGCCATGACGAACGAGACGGTTCTACGCGAAGTTGGACCTCTTTTAAGGAACAAGAATGGTAGCTGCTACCGAATAAAAAATGGCGCAGATAAAAAGTATGTAAATATGCTTAATTCAAAACAATTTTGTCCAGTACCAACAGAAAAGCAAGCATCCTTTCTGCTTTTTTCTAAAGATTACCGTGTATTTGTTATAGATTCCTGAGAGCTGTATCATATCGCTGGCTGGCAAGATGGTTATTTGGAATAATGGGCTGGGACAACACAAGACCCTTGTCAGCATGCATCTACCATCGTATAAGGACTACATTCCATACAGGCGATGCTAAGGGTTATGTATCTGGAGAAGAACGAGCAGAGAAAGACAGCTGAAGTGACTATGACAATTTTTTTATAGCTTTGATAAGTTTAATTTTATAATCAGAATATTAATAATTTACTTTATGTACCAGTCCATTCAAATATAAATAAATTCTATAAACTATTATGAATGGCAATTTGCCTGTTTCCTGAGTAAACAGTTTTGCTGCACACTACCATAACATAGCTGCTTCATACAGTTTTAAATTTTTAGTCAGATATACCTATCCAGTGTTGAACCTGGGTTAGATTGAGCACTTTTCCAGAGTAGTGTGCCAACTATACCGGTAAACCCATGTTATGCATGTTTACATATTATAAACTACCCCAACTAATTAAAGTAAACCAGATTGACTCGGGTGACGGAGGTGAAATCACCCGAAAATACAATAAGATATTCAACGTTTCGAGCAAAGGCCATTCACCTGGAAGTTATAAGGGTGGGTCGGGAAAACAGCTAGTTTTACACAAATCAACAACTAAATCATTATTACACACACGGGCACAGCATGTTTGATATATCCAAACCAGGTTGAAGTTGTTAAACCTGGGTTGGTTTTGTACTGTAAATCATGCTTTACATTCCATTCAAATTCACAGCTATGGGTGGCAGGACATACTGTAATTCTGTTCATATTTTATTGGATTATTCTAGAAACATCCACACCTCGCCATTCCCACACAGAAAATGAGGGATTACACTAGCACCCTTTGGATGCCTTGATACATTTTAGAATTTATCAGAAGTAGATTTCCCACTTTAGCCCCCTGGACAGCAGAAATTTCCCCTGCATAAAGGGTGTGGATAATTTCTGGAATACCCATTCAGACTATTGAGCTTGACATTTTTACAAAATAATAACCACATCAAGGGCAATGTGACCGGGGATGGCCTTTCATAGGTGCTTTGCATTTTGAGCATTGTCTTGCTTTCCTTTTTGGTGGTGGTAGATCTGCTGTCGATTTTCGTTTTTCTGCCTCAATCAATGATGTTTGTTCTGAAGCTAAAAATGATCAAATGTGAGGAGATTATAACAACAAGAGAAACTCAGTTATTGATTGCATTTATTATGTGATAATTTTTGTGGTGTTGGTAGTAATGGTTTCTCATTTACCTGATGGAAAGAGTTCTGCAGTTTTTGCTTTTTGCTCCCTGTGGCGCTTTATTGCTTCATTTTTGGGGGTCTTTTCTAAAAATTGGCTTGTCAAGGGTTCAGGAACTTTATCCTTGTATGTGTCCTTGATTTTCTTCCGTTCTTCTTTGGTCATGGAAAACAACTCTTCTTTGATACTGCGAACATAGCCTAAATGACAAAACATGAAATACTATGAAATACAGATTTCCCCTTGTTTTCTATCCTGGAACCTTCGATTTCCCCAGTATGCCAAAACATACCTTAGTACTAGATAATAGAAATTACATTATTATAGGTCCCAAAATTACATACCATAGGTTGCAGCAACAGCAACTTCTCGAACAACATCACCGCCATTCTTGAATTTGGGGTATGTAACATTTACATATGTCCTGCCATCCTTTGCCAATTTTTTTGGTCTCCTGACATTTTCATTGAAATGTAGGATAGCCAGGATATGTCTGTAATTAAATTAAAGGGAAAATCAGCCTTTGAGTTGGTGACTAGAGGTGTGCAATTACAATCGGATATTCGGATCGGATTCGGACTAAACTTTCAAGGATTGGATTTAGTTCAATTTTTCTCGGATCAATGTACAATGAGAGACTGTTGGTTATTATCATTACAGTATATACTTTATACCTGCAATAGGTGCCAAGCCAGGAGAAACACTTCATTTTGGGATGCCATTGATTTAAAGTGGAATGAAATCCCTCCAAACAACTAGTCTCTGCATCTGGACACAGCCGCTTGATATCATTTAGTAGTCCTGTCTTCAAGACAATCTTTTCAAGGCTCTCGTATGCAGGTGTGCCTACATAAATACAAATAGAGTTGTAAATATCATATTTTCATATTAAGTCCCTTCTCTTCCAGAGACATGCCCCTTCCTCTTTCAATCCCATCCCTAAAGAAGGGGGTTTCATGGAAAAAATTAAAATTATTATTGATCTGTATTTGACTTACCAACTTTTATCCATTTTCTGCGCTTCTCAAGCTCCTTGTGTGCACACTCTGGAAACAGTGGGTCAGGGTGGTTTGTATGCTTTTTGGCAACATGCCGAATAAATGATTTCCATTTGTCAAGAATCAATTTCTGAAACCCTTCTTTGGTGGTTGTTGAGCACCAGTAAATATGGTGTTTTACAGCTGTTATCCATTTAGCAATCCTCTCACAGCCTTTCTTTTTGCTTGCTGCTAAAATTTTCTTCACCACACTTTTTGCAATATGCCACTGGTCAAAATAGTGTGTGATGGTTGGGTGGCTCTCTCTTAACCACTTGGCAATGCCCCGGTGCCGATCGGAAACAAACACCGGAATTTCAAGATCAGATTGTTTTAAATGATCAAAGCACAACTTTGCAGCCTCCAGCTCCATAGCGGTACTACTGCCAGCCTGGTTTGCCTAAAATATACAGAATAAAAACAACAGGAATTACACAAAATATTAAATATTATTAAAATCCGAGCCTCAAATGTTGTCTAAAAACCTTGCATACTCCTAATGTTGGGGCTTTAATTTACTAGTGAATTAGAGGAAGGATCTATAAAGGTAGATTTCAACATTCTATTGGTCCAAGGTAAAACATAGTTGTTCTAGGAACTTCAACACTTCATGAAAAACATTGTTAACCTTTGTCAACCTACTTAATTAAGGTTGTTCAGGCTTCAGAAACAACTTGTTTAACCTTAATGGGTTGAAATCAGTTTTTGATCCATGACTACAGTATATCAAAACCATACTGTACCTGTAATAACTCGAAATGTACTATTTTATTTGATGGTGAACACATCATTGAATACACTCCATACTTGGCAGAATGCCCCATGGAATCAAATCTTCCATCTCCAGACCATACTAGGTTTTTGCTGGCTCTAAGGGATGATATCAATGCCGACCGATATGATTCCCAGTGGTGAAGTATGGCAGGAAAGATAAAAAATGGTAGAAAAATGTTCTTGCTTCATAAGCCTGCATACCAAAATGCTTGAAAACAAGCAGTATCTTGCTGATCGATGCACCTGCCATCAATATTGCAAAGCTTAACAACATATTCCCAGCAGGATAGGTTCCCATGATGAGAGGCTGGCTCCTCCAAGTGAAACCAGTTGGGCATTTTTTGCAGTGTTGCTGTACTGTAACCATTGTTCCATTTTTCTTCATTGAAACTTTGGGAGAATTTGCTTTGCATATAAAACAGAACATACTAAATATATGCAAAAGTGCACTGTAGAAAACAATGAACTTTGGCTCATCTTTGCAGTCTGTTTCAGGTTCAACTCTACAAGTGAGAAAAAATGAATTACCTGTATGCACAACATTTGTCCTATATATACATCATGATGTACAGGATGTAGATTATGAATATAGTACATCTGGTCATTTCAGAAAACATCCACATCTTAAATTTGAAGTCTGAACTTCTTAGCCTGATGATGAACTAGAAGTCTGAACTAGCTAACCCATTTGTATGGACTTGCTTGTCATTATGCTATTTCCGGTAGTCCGTAGTACTGTAGATTTGCCCCTTCAGATGACACAAATTCTCTTTGTAAGGAGAATGTGAATATTTTCTGGAACACCTTGCACTCCCCCAGATGCACAGTATAATATCTATAAGTGTCTAAATAATTAATCTCGATTTATAACTACGGTTGTTCTATACAGACCTTATGTCACATTTTGATGGTTCATTCATTTGTTCATCTTCAGAAGCAGTGACATAATCCTCTTCGTTTATTTCTTCTTCCATCGCTACCCAATCTTCATCTCTCTCATACACACCAACTTTCTCGTCTGCATCATGACTGATAATTCCATCACTATCAGTCTCGACCTCTTCTTGAGTCCCTGTTTGTTGGCAATACTCTGATAAATTTGAATCAGGTTTCTAGAAATTGAGAAAAACATCAATTTACACTACACAATATGATCTATTTCATTATAGAATCAACATCCAACAAATAAACATTGGAAATTTCAGTAGTTGAACATATATTTTTCATGTAATATTTCAAATGCGACTATGAGGACTGGACTATATTTCAAGTCTGTGCAATTTGATTCAATCCGAGACGAAGCCGAGGACTGGGTCAAATTGCAAGGACTTGAAATATAGTCCAGTCCGAATTGGAGGATTTGGAATAATATCTCATACGAGTGAATCACTACATAAAGTGAGGAGAATTAATTTTGATCCAGTCTAAGGACTGAATTAATTTTGATCCAGTCCTAGGACTGGACCAATATACTTCACCAGGTATCCATGCAGTATTATCATGTGAGCAAAATAAAGCAATATGGTTGGCTAATTTACTCATGAATTATTAATGAGTTTGAAATAAATTGAGATAAATTGAGATTTGAGATTATTACTTATTGAGTTTGAGATAGCACATTTTAACCCATTAACTGGCAGTACTCTGCCACCGACAAGTAAAATTGTCTGGGGTTCAGAACAGCGTAAGATACTAGAGTAGGGTGCATCTGGGTGCATTGCCAGCTAATGGGTTAATTAGCCAAATTACAGTAGTTTTACCATTATCCACAGCATTATTTTATCACAGAGTACCTGAGAATTACACATTTGTTGCAATTGACGGGCTTCTTTACACAATTTTCTGTGCCGGTATTTCAGCTTTCGGTATGTTTCCCAAAGACGACCAAACTTCGTTTTGTGATTAGCACAATTCTGACATTCTGACACCGCCGTAGAAGTTCCAGTAACAGTCTGTGGCTCTGTGTCTGGTTGTGGGCAAGACTGATCATTTTCTACCTCCTGTTCAAGTAATACCCCTGAGTCGATACCATCATTCATCGTTACAGAGCTTTCAGGTTTCAAGTTCATGCTTCGAACAATCTAAAGATTGGAACAAAAAATGTTCATATGCAACATGGTAGCCTATACAGTCTGCAGTGGTGCCAGAAAATCTTGGCTAAAATTTAACATGAAAACATCTATTTTATAAATGTATATTTCTTGATTACTCTGATACTCGACATATATTGCAGATTAATATACAGTATGTGTAACCCACGTAATGTTAACCGATCTTGCGTATCCATATTGACATACAACATATCACATCTACATGACTATATTATAAACGTTTATACATCAAATCATGCTTTCTTAGTTATAATTTTCTCATATTTCGCCTTTGGTAGCGAACTAACTAGCAACGAAAATTGCTATTTTAAGCTATATATATACATAGTGTTAACGGGCCTTTAGTTTATGCCGTCAAGAGTGTCGCTTTATGTTATGAATATGTAAAATGGCGCATACAAACAATTTATGCATATTACCTGTCTTCTTTTACGAGCGGAAATCTCCTGAACTTGTGACTCTAAAACAATGCAATCTACACATGGTATCGAGCCTTTCTTCAGCCATCTTTTTGTTGTGAATTTTTCGGGATCTTGTAGATTTAGATCGAGCCGTTGTTCAAAATCTGTGAGAACAAAATGAGCCGAGCAAAGCACCGAAGTGCTAGATGGCTTCCATTGTGCGCGATGTCTTTGGACAAACGTAGTCCATTTTGCCCGTACAAAACTATCGCTAGGGAACCGATGCATCGATATTCCTTCTGTTTTTGAATTATTTTTGCAACTGACATTGCCAGGTCCACCAGCAACGCAATACTTTCCTAGAGATTTCCCTTTCGCTCGGCTGTTTTGTGTCTCCGCCATGACAATCACCTTCGGAATGAACGCGTGAGTACAACCAGTGACGTCACAGCGTCGATTTGGCCGCGCGTCAGCGCGGGACAAATACAGGCATTAATTGGCAACTTTGTAAGCTTATTACTCGACTTTAAAAAATCGCGGGGCAAAAATAAACTAGCGGATGATATTCAGCATAGTTTAAACTATAAAATGAGTACAATTGTGAAAAACATTTTCAGCCATTTCATAAACACTTTAATCAAATTTTAAATAACCCGAACCATAAACTTCATAATTTAATTCCTAAAATAGATACTTCATTAAATTATCAATTACGTAACAACAAGAAGATACATGTTCCGAAATTCTATACTGAACGTTTTAAGAATCCGTATGTCATCGCTAGTTGTTTAGACATAAATAATCGTAATTCAACAAATTAGTGTTAGTTTTAATAATTATAATCTGCTTTGTAAGCCATAGCATAGGTTGTAATTTTTTAAATGCAATATAATTTGTATTCAGTATTATTTATATTGTAATCGCTTACCAATTCAGTATTTGTAGTGCAAAAAGTGAATTATTAAACAATCTATCTATCTATATATCTCTGGGCTTGCATGTACTTATAAAATATGAAATATTTTCAAACACATCACGACAAAGAGGCATATGCTATGTCTTCCTATATTACCATTTTATGGTAAGGAAATGTATAGTTTACTTGCATAAGTCATATATACACTTGAGTACTTGAAATTCAGGTGCCATATTTATAACACAACGGTTTTAGTTTTAAGTTTAATTCTTCAGAAGAAGTCGCTCGAGGATGGAATCTTATTATTTTATCAACCATATATTCATATCTGCTGTGAATGTATTCTTCTTTTTCTCAGGAATATGTTTAAATTATTTGGTCATACTCAATTTCTGGAGGTCTATACAATTTCGAAAGAAATTATGTTATTTCATGATAATGCTTTTGTCCTATTGCGATTTGCTCGCGGTTTTAACTAATAATCCACTGATGGCCCTTCTCTTGATGTCATGGCTGACCGAAAAGATCGATGGGAATGCTAGATGGGCTCATATTTCCTTAAGATCGACAATCGTTTTCCTTGGTTTTTCATTATTCGCTCTTTTGGTGATGAATTTCGATCGATATTTGGCGACATCTTATCCTATTTTTCATCGAACATCGGCAATGAAGGGAAGACATTAAACTCTCATAACTCTTCTTGCAACACTGATCATCGTTGAAATAACACTGAAAATGATGTCTGTGAAAGAGTTTGTTATTTCCAACGAAGTACATACTATAATTACTTGTATTCTTGTCATACCTGCAATGTCATTTATCAACTACAAACTGTTTCTAGTCGTCAGGAAAAGTCGTAGAAACAAAAGAGTGTCGCCCGATATGAAAAAGACGTTTTCTTTGAAAAATATATCGAGTCGTTAGCTGGTCGTCGCTTGTGGTGTGGTAATATCCATTCCAACGTTCGTCTACATTGGACTAAGGATAAACTCGCCAGAGACAACAAATACTTTGGTTAATGCAAACCTCGCAGCGCTGTGGGCTAGAACCATAGCTTTGGTGAATTGTACATTTAACTGTTTAATCTTTTACTGGAAAAAGAAGTTGTTAGCTACGTACCGAAGGATTGAAAGTTCTGAAAAGCATGAAAATATGTCGACGTGTTGAATCCTAGCTGCACTAATAACCCTTCTTGAAAAAACTTAACGCTAGAAGGAAACTCACAATATCAATATATATATATATAAATATCACTAGCCTCCCAAAAACTTCATTTATATAAAACTTCAAGTTGGAAACAAAATTTATTAAACTTCAAACAAATACATAATACGTTTCGGGGTACAGCCCCTTCGTCAGAAACGAGATAAGTTCAATCCATGTCCTTAAATACTTTAGGCTCAATCACACACTAATAATATATAGACTTGCATATTAACATTCCTCCCTCAAATTTAATCCCAGTGGTACATATGTATTCAATTTTTCAATCCAAAAGCTTTCCCTCTCTGTAGGTTTATTAATATCCGTAATATCAATAATCTGTACTTTAACTGAAGTCATTAAGACCCGAATGGCCCTCCTCAAAAAAATGTTCATACAAATGTTGACCACATAAACCTCTTTGGCCCTTAGAATATCTATTAAGCGAACTCTTGTGGTTATTAAATCTAAGACGAAATGACGTTATAGTATTGCCCACGTATTGTTTACTACATTTTCCGCAAGTAATTAAATAAACCACCCCCTGAGAGTTACAATCAAAGTGATGGTTAATGTGAAACGTGCGCTGTTGTACTGTACTTTGAAAAGTATCCGCTACCACGATGGAATCACAAACTTTGCACTTCTTCCCCCCACATTTAACCATCCCTCTAGCTGCAACCTCAAGCTTATGCAATTTAGCCCGAACAAGATGGTCTTTAAGGTTTTTGGATCTCCTAAAACACGCCATAGGTGGCTCTGGCATGACACTTAGGAACTTGTTAGATAAGCCTACAATATTTTGCAATTCCCTAAAAATTCCATAAATTTCCCGCAATGCTGGGTGATAATCTATGATAAAGGTACTCTTATTATTTTCCCTTCTAGTTTGTTCACTTCCCCGTTTAAATAATGCCGACCGATCCAAAAACCTGACTCTCTTAAACTGACTCTCTACAAATTCGCTATTAAGCCTATTATAGCCCCTTTTAACCAGAAACCCTTTCGATTCCTGAAGCCTACTCTCAAAAACCTTATCTGAATGGCAAATCCGCTTTAGACGCAGATTTAATTAACCACAAGAGTTCGCTTAATAGATATTCTAAGGGCCAAAGAGGTTTATGTGGTCAACATTTGTATGAACATTTTTTTGAGGAGGGCCATTCGGGTCTTAATGACTTTAAAGTACAGATTATTGATATTACGGATATTAATAAACCTACAGAGAGGGAAAGCTTTTGGATTGAAAAATTGAATACATATGTACCACTAGGATTGAATTTGAGGGAGGAATGTTAATATGCAAGTCTATATATTATTAGTGTATCTTAATTAGATTGAGCCTAAAGTATTTAAGGACATGGATTGAACTTATCTCGTTTCTGACGAAGGGGTTGTGCCCCGAAACGTATTATGTATTTGTTTGAAGTTTAATAAATTTTGTTTCCAACTTGAAGTTTTATATCTATATATATATATATATATATATATATATATATATATATATATATATATATATATATATATATATATATATATATATATATATATATATGTAAATTTAATTTTTCCATCCTAATAAAGATTAGACCTTTATTGGCTATTTTAATTTTGCGGCAGCAGAGGTAGACATTTTGGAGAAAATCTAAAATCCAGAAAACTTCTCACTTTCGACAAAAATATACATGTGTATAAAATGATTTAAAAATGTTCCTTTCTCCTCACAACGTCTTCTCGTTCGTGGCATATTATGTAAGTTGGTAACAGGTAACGAAGGCTATATCATAGATGAGAACATTAAGAGGTTACAGCCCACCCCAGTTTCTCCTCAGTGTTGAAAGAATTGCAAAAATGGTTCCGGAAGAAAAGTGTGGGGCAAGCGGGGTCCAGCCATATCATGATTTGGGGGCATCTCAGTTGATTGAAGAATAATGTTGAAGGATTGTGTAGATGGAAATTTCCAGTGTAAATTTTATACATTAGTATACGAACAACGTCAAAAAGATTTTAAATTTACTTTGCCGTAGTACATTAAAAGGTCTTAATTTGAAGTTATCTAAAGTACATATCATCCTGTCAACATGTATAATTAAAACATACCTTAATAGTTATTACTGTTTGCAGTTTTGGAAAACAACTCGAAAACAGGGCGAGACATTTGTTTTGGGGGAGTAGATGGCCCAAGCTAACAGCACGTTTCATTCTACTGCCGAGTTAAACACATAAGATAAGGCTAAGAACCATGAGGCTAAAAACGTATACTGATTTAGAGAAATAAACTTCAGTTCTAAATTGTTTTCCCTAGAGGTCCTGCTAGGGTCATCCCTTATAATGATTCAGGATCACTAGTCTACTAGATGAAACCTAAACAAAACTAACTTTATTTATGGATAGCTATTTCAGTTCTAAATCAGTATGACGAACTCGTTCTGTGTTGTTCACAACATCCATGAGCTTGCATGCATGTACTTATAAATATGAAAGATGTTCAAACACATCCAAACACAGAAGCATGCTATATCTTCCTCATATCACCATATTTTCATAATTAAATGTTTAGTTTACTTGTATATGTCATTTATACACTTGAATACTTGCATGAAATTCAGGTCTCATATTTAAACACAACGTTTTAGTTTTATGTTTAATTCTTCAGAAGACGTCGCTCGAAATGGTATATTATTATTTTACCAATCTGATATTCATATTTTCTCTGAATGTATTCTTCTTTTTCTCAGGAATATGTTTAAATTCCTTGGTCATACTCTGTTTCTGGAGATCAGTACAACTTAGAAAGAAATTATGTTATTTCATGATAATGGTTTTGTCCTGTTGCGATTTTCTTACAGTTTTAACTAATAGTCCATTGATGGCCCTCATCTCGATGTCATGGTTGACGGGAAAGTTGGATGGAAATGCTAGATGGCCTCATATTTCCTTAAGTTCCACAAGTATTTTCCTTTGTTTTTCATATTTCGCTCTTTTGGTGATGAATTTTGATCGATATTTGGCGACATCTTATCCTTTCTTTCATCGAACATCGGTAACGAAAGGAAGACTTTTAACTCTTCTTGCAATACTCACCATCGTCGATGTAATTTTGATATCGATATTTGTAAAGGACTTTTTTATTTCCTACCATTTACATTGTCTAATTATTTCTATTCTTGTCATTCCTGCAATGTTACTTATCAACTACAAACTGTTTCTAGTCGTCAGGAAAAGTCGTAAAAAGAAAAGAATATCGACCGATATGAAAAAGACGCTTTCTTTGAAAAATATA